AGCCGCCTCGTGAGCCGGCGAGCCGAGCCCTGTTCATAGCAGAACGTGTGAGAATCGTCTCTTCACACCTCAACACCGTGAACGCCGTCAAACGCCTTCTCACCAAACCCAAGGGCGCCCCGCGCCGTGCTCGCAGCGCCGTGCGTGCAGCGCAGCACACGCGCGACGCGCCCCTTGCACGGCGTCTGATAAAACGGCGCCTCGAGCCCTATCCGAGTCAAAAAGTGTGAGAACCGTCTCTTCACACCTCGAAGCCGCTAAGTCTTTTTTTCGCCGTCAAACCGCTCTAGCGGCGCTGCGCGCCGCGTAAAGAGCGCGGCGCGTGCAGAGGAACTCACGCTGCGTACGCACCGCGAAGGCCGTCTCTTGAGTCGGCGATCTGCGCCCTATTCACAGAATAAAGTGTGAACGGCGTCTCTTCACACCTCGAGCCGTGAACGCCGTCTAGCGCCTTCTCGCCGCCCCAAATGGCGCTCCGCGCCGCGCTATCAGCGCCAAACGTGTAGCACAACACACGTGCGACTCGCCCCGTGAACGGCGTCTGGACAAACGGCGCCTCGAGCCCTATCCGAGTCGAAAAGTGTGAGAACCGTCTTTTCACACCTCAAAACCGCTAAGTCTTTTTTTCGCCGTCAAGCCGCTGCGCGCGCTGCGCGCCGTGTGGAGAGCGCGGCGCGTACAGAGGCGCGTGCTGCACACGCACCGCCAAAGCCGCCTCGTGAGCCGGCGAGCCGAGCCCTGTTCATAGCAGAACGTGTGAGAATCGTCTCTTCACACCTCAACACCGTGAACGCCGTCAAACGCCTTCTCACCAAACCCAAGGGCGCCCCGCGCCGTGCTCGCAGCGCCGTGCGTGCAGCGCAGCACACGCGCGACGCGCCCCTTGCACGGCGTCTGATAAAACGGCGCCTCGAGCCCTATCCGAGTCAAAAAGTGTGAGAACCGTCTCTTCACACCTCGAAGCCGCTAAGTCTTTTTTTCGCCGTCAAACCGCTCTAGCGGCGCTGCGCGCCGCGTAAAGAGCGCGGCGCGTGCAGAGGAACTCACGCTGCGTACGCACCGCGAAGGCCGTCTCTTGAGTCGGCGATCTGCGCCCTATTCACAGAATAAAGTGTGAACGGCGTCTCTTCACACCTCGACACCGTGAACGCCGTCCGGCGCCTTCTCGCCGCCCCAAGGGCGCTCCGCGCCGTGCTAACAGCGCTGAGCGTGCAGCGCAGCACACACGACGCACGCCCCGTGAACGGCGTCTGACAAAACGGCGCCTCGAGCCCTATCCGAGTCGAAAGGTGTGAACATCGTCTCTTCACACGTCGAAGCCGCTAAGTCTTTTTTTCGCCGTCAAGCCGCTCAGACGGCGCTGCGCGCCGCGTTGAGAGCGCGGAGCGTACAGAGGGGCACACGTTGCGTACGCAGCGCGAAGGCCGTCTCGTGAGTCGGCGAGCCGTAGAAAAGATATGTTTTCTTTTTCCCCCTTGTTTTCATCGGATGGCACAACGGCGGAGTAGTTGTCAGTCTCTTGGCACTTCTCGAACATGTTTTTGAGCCATCTCGCCGCCGTTGGCGGAGCTGAGTGCCGCCGCGCACACGGCAAATGTCGCACTCCGTGGGAAACGTCGGCGGCAACGCCGGAAATCATTTTTGAAATAAAACTCACCAGACAACAACGCCGTGTAAATGCCAACGAACCGTTTTGCGCTCCTAACCAACAGCAACACACACCCCGGCCGGAACTACTCGTCGGCGGATGTGGACCAGAGCGACGGCCCATCCGGCCCTGCATCATGGGATGCCCGGCTTGGGCGCCGGCGACGACGCGTACGGCCACCCCGAGGGCCTCTTAGCGACGGCAACCGTCGTGCCGGTGGCGGTGCCGGACCCGGTGGCGGGCGTCTTACGCTTGTTGCACGGGGTGGTGGTGGCGCCTTGTGGCAGCGGCCCCGGAGGCGCGGCCGGTCGAGCCGGCGCTGACTCCTGACAAATGCGCACAATCTCGCTTCCGTAAGTGTTCATCTTGTCCATCCCGATGCCGTTGACGAGCTTGAGCTCATCGAGGCTCGTCGGGCAGCGGGCCGCAACCGACCGCAGCACGGAGTTGTGCAGGACGTGGTAGGGCTCAACCTTGTCGGCCTGCGCCCTTTTCGCCCTGAAGGAGCGGAGCGCTGCGAGCAGGAGGCTGTCCGCTTGATCTCCGGCAGCCGTCTGCGGAGGCGCCGCGGGCCTTGGAGGAGGAGGGGCCGAGTTGGTCGCTGGCTGCCGGGCGCCGCAGGAAACGAGCTCCGTGTACGCAGCGTGCGATGTGTCGTGCATGTGACGAATGCGCGACCGGATTGCGCCGTTGGTTCGGCCGAATCGCTTGGCCAGCCTCGCCACGACGGCGTTGACCTCCTGAGTACCGGGAAGCTCGCCATCAGCCTGCAGCTGCACGTGGCAAAGTGCGTGCCAGACCGCCTTGCTGTCGTCGAGAGGCCACTGGCCGGGCATTGCTGTCAACCGTGGCCGATTGGTGGCGCGAAGGGCGGCTGTCAGCTAACCGGGGCGAGAGCGCGAAAGAGAAATGTGGCACGCCGAGGCAAGGAAACTTGAAAATTTATAAAGGAAACTTGATAAAAGAAAGAACAACAGTTTTTCTTTGCTTTGGCCCGACGCCGGCTCGCGCTGTACGAGTTGCTCTCGCTCGCGGAGGAGCGTCGCAGTGTGCACCCACGCAACGCCTTCGCACATCCACACCACACTCTGCGTAGCCATGGCATTTCACTCCGTGTGCGTGCGACTCGCACTCGCTCTCTTGCCCTCGCCGCCGCCTTCGCCGCCGCCGCCTTCGCCTCCGTGACTTCGGATCGCTTCCCCATTTCTCGCACTGCCTCGCTCGCCACGTTCGACAACAGTGCACCAGCGCTCGCTTTCTCTCGCTCCCACTCACGCTTCGTGCTTCGCTACTAGGTTCTTCGCATCTACTTGGAGTGGATAGCGTCTGCCGCCTCTCGCTGCTCTGTCCGCTCTGCCACCTCGATGCCGCGGTTGCGACGCTCTGATGCCACTCCCTAGTTCGCAGCAGCTCCATCGCTCGTTGCACCAAGGAGCGACGACGAGGCGGCAGCATCGCATCGGCGGTGCCAGCCGTTGTCACGCTCGGCCATCTCGCGCCGCCATCTCCACCTCTCTCACCGCCGCCTCAGTCTTCGCCACCACGCGATCGCCTCCGGCGAGCCCGCAAGCACGAAGCCGGCTCTCCTCGCACTCGCGTCGCTCTCCGCCCCGGAGGGATGGCCAGTTAGGTGTGCCAAGGTTGTGTGCGGTTAGGGTTAGCGGTTGCCGGAGCCGCGCACTCAAGTTAGGGTTAAAGACGTAGTAACACGCCGCGAGCGAGGGTTAAGCTAGGGTTATACGTCCCCCGTCCACGGCTCGACGAGGGCTCAAAAATCGATAAAAACGGCCCACCCGGCGAAAAAATCGCGCGCTGCGCGCGCAGGAAGAGAGAGAAGGAGAGAGAGAGAGTTATTGCCGCCACCCGCGCACCCCCCTCTCGCCCGGGAGAAAGTTGACGAGCGGAGCGAGGCAACTTTCCCGGGGCGAGCGCCGGCCGCGCGCGGAAAACGCGGTTTTTGCCAAAACGGTGGAGGCCGCCCCGCGCTACCGCCCATCAAACCCGCACCGCCTGAAGCCCTCGGGAAGGCCCTCAAAACGTCGACGCGGGAGGCCGAAAATCGCCTCGCTTCAGAGCCCGCGGGAGGACGGACCCCACGCCGCCCCACGAGCGACCCGCGCAACCCGCGACCCACGGCCGTGCGGAGAATCGGCAGGAGACGTCCGCAGCCCCCAGGATCGTCCTCGTCCGATCCCACCATCGGCCACCATGACCCTCCCCGCGCGCGCTGGAAATCTTCAGGCCCTCTGCTCGACTTTGGACGACCGACTTTATTTCGGGTGCTAAAGCAGCTCGCACGGGCCCACCTCGCCGCCCCCGCCGCCGCCCGCCCCCGCGCGGCAGGCCCGGCGCCGCTGGCCTCCCCCGCGCACCTCACGGGGCGCCATGACACCGCCTGCCAGCCGGCCTGCAGCAGTGCGGGACAGCTGCTGCTACATTCCTCGCCTCCCGACGGCCACGGCGCCGCCCCGCGGTCGAAGCTCGCAAAACCACGCACGGCCCCGTCCACACCGCTCATCGGGCGCCCGCTCGCGCCGCCCGCGGACCCCTCTCCCGCCAAACCCGCCCCTCTCCTAGCCCCTCCCAGGAGCCGCCACACAGGCCTCGCCTCGCCTCGCACCCGCCCCCCCAAAATAGGGAGCCATTTCTGGGGCTCCCAGGCCATTCCCTGTCGATTGCTGACGGACAACTTTTTTCCGGCGGAATTTCCCCTAGTTTTTTCTTATTTGCCCGCAGCGGGCGGATCTCTCTCTCTGATCAACAGCGACTCTGCTGTCTCTCTCGCCCCTCTCGCCCCCATGCCTCGGCCACGCCCCGGCGCATCCTCCGTGCACCCTCCCGGCGCGGCGCGGCGCCGGACCCCTCGTCGACGCGCTTTGATCGCCGCCTCGCCTCTCGACGCGCCGCTCCCGCTCCGCCGTCTTCTCGGCGGCGGCGCGGCCTGACCTGGGCAGGGTCCGCTCCCGATCTTCTTTACGTGCGCCCCGCACGCGACCACCTCCCTTCTCGCCCAGCGAGGTCTCGGCGCGCGGCCGCTGCTGCTCGCCACGCTCGCCGCCGTGGTGCTCGTGCGGCTGCTGTGGCCCGAGGCGAGCCGCGCGGAGCTGCTGTGGACGATCGACCCGCCCGAGGCGGCGCGGCAGCACATCCGGCGGCTGATCCTCCCGCCCGAGGCCATCCGCCTCCGCCCGGCAGACACCTCCCCCACGAGCGCAGCCGGAAGCTGCGGTGACAGGAGGAGCGGCGGAGGCGGCGGCGGCGGCGGCGGCGGCGGAGGCAGCAGTGGCGGTGGCGGTGGCGGAGGCGGCGGCGGCGGCGGCGGCGGCGAAGACGGCGGAGGAGGAGTCGTCGCATGGGCGGGGTCGACCAGAGTGGGGGCGGAGCCGGAGCTGGTGCGGAGGGTCGGCGGCGCGTTTCTCCTCTCGCGCTCTCTCTCCTCGCGCTACGTGCGCCTCCTCTTCCTCTCGACACACCAGTTCGACGCGAGCAGAGCCCGAGCGGCAGTATACCCTACCGACCCGGCGCCCAAACCCAAGGACATAAAACAGGCGAGCAAGCGGCGGCTGCAGTCTGTGAGCGTGCCGGCCTGGCAGCCTAGACTCCGAAAGACGGACTCTTATATTGCCAGAGGCGGAGTATCTCCCCACATCTCCCCGTCTCTCCCCCAGATCTCGAGGCCTAGATGCGGAGTATCTCCCCATATCTCCCCATATCTCCCCATATCTCGTGCCTAGACGCCGAAGCGGGACTCTTGCCTCCCAACCCGCGCTCGACCGCATTCCGCCGCATTCAGCTGCATTGGCCCCCCTCGTCCTCACGCGGTGCTCTGAGTACGCTGCACAGTGCCGTCCTCCCGCCCTCATGTCGGCGTCCTCGGCGCGCAGGACTGGGAGGCCTTCTCGGCCTCGCTGCTGCTGCACTGGACGAGTGCCGCCTCCGGGCTCGAGCTCGGGCGGAGCCGCACTCAACCACTAGTTGGTTTGCTACGATGACTCAGTGTGACCGCGTAGACTTGAGCTCGACGGAGCCGTCACCAAGGGCTTGCGCGCCGTCCGAAACTCGCTGTCCGACCAGCGCGCGTCGGCGGTGCTCGGGTGGCCGCTGATGCAGCAGGCGGAGCTGGCCGCGAGATGCGCCGAGATGCGCCGAGATGCGCCGAGATGCGCCGAGATGCGCCGAGATGCGCCGAGATGCGTCGAGATGCGCCGAGATGCGCCGAGATGCGCCGAGATGCGCCGAGATGCGCCGCCGATGCGGTGTGCTACCCGTCGGTCGAGATCAGCCGAGATCTGCCGGGAGATCTGCCGAGATCTGCCGAGATCTGCCGAGATGCGAGGCGCACTTGCGTGGGCAGCGGTGCCTCCCCCCCCACCCACCCCCCCACCCCCCCCACCCACCTTAGGCGGTGCTGGCCGCGCTGCCCACCGCTCTCGGCCCCGACCGACCGGCGGTCGCCCTGCGCTCAACGGTCGCCGCAGTGAGCTCGCGCATGCGGCCGCTGCTGCGCGCTGTCGTCGAGACATGCGGCATCCTCTCCTCGCCCCGCGAGCCTGCGGGACCCGTTTAATTAATAATTAAATCAATCAATCAATTAATTAGGCATCCTCTCCTCGCCCCGCGAGCTGCGGGACCTCTTTGGGTGGCTCGCCGACATCGCCGACACCCTCCGCGCGATGGGCCTCTCGCCCCCCGACGCGGCCGCCCTCCTCTCCTGCCTCACCCGCTGCCTGCCCGGACAGCAGGCGGCGGGCAGCACGCAGCCCGCGCCGCCCGCAGAGCCGCCCGAGCCGCCGGCGCCTCCGAGCCGCTGGTCGGCCATCGCGACGGTCCTCTCGTTGCAGAGCTCGGCCGAGAGCGCGCCCGCCGAGGCGGGGCAGGCCGAGGCGTGGCAGCGCTTCCTCGACGGCGCGACGCCGGTCATCTTGCGGCTCCTGGTGGTGTAGGGAGGGTACACTCGGTGCGACAGTGTTTTACAGTGATTGTTTGACCGACCAGCGAGACGCGATCAGATTAGCCGAGATTGGCCGAGATCAGCCGAGATTGGCCGAGATTAGCCGAGATCGAGCACGAGGAGCGCGACAGCGAGGACCTGAGCACGAGCTGCGCGTCCCATATCTCCCCGTATCTCCCGTATCTCCCCGTATCTCCCTCTCCCTCTCTCTCCATCTCCTCTATCAGGCGATTAAATATTAATTATCGAGATCGCACGAGATACGCGAGAGGTGTGTGAGAGCGGAGAGCGAGAGGGGTGTGTGATGAGATATTTGATCGAGAGAGGCACGGATTGAGATCGAGAGAGGCGATTAAAAATTAATTATCGAGATTGCACGAGATCAGGCGCTTGCTGCGGCGCTGCTGGCGCTAGGCCGAGGTGGCGGAGGCGGCGGAGGCGGCGGAGGCGGCGGAGTTGAGGCTGACGGCGGCCCGAGAGAGGTAGAGGTGTGTACGGCTCTATGCGGTGTGTATGATCGGGAGAGGCATGGATCGAGGTCGAGAGGAGCGAGAGGTGCGTATGCGTATGCGGCGCCCGCTGGAAAAAAAGTTTTGGGAAATCGGTAGGGAAACAATGGGGCCTGGGAGCCCCAGAAATGGAAAGAAAACACGACTCTTTAGACTATAGCTTTCTACCTATCTCCGCCCCAAGGGCGCTTCGCGCCGTGCCAACGGCGCCGAGCGTGCAGCGCAGCGCACACGCGACACGTCCCTTGCACGGCGTCTGATAAAACAGCGCTTCTAGCCCTATCCGAGTCGAAAAGCCGCTAAGTCTTTTTTTCGCCGCGTGGAAAGAGCGCTGCGTACAGAGCAGCAGCCGCTGCGTACGCACCGTGAAGGCCGTGTCGTGAGTCGGCGAGCCGAGCCCTATTCATAGCAGAAGGTGTGAACGGCGCCTCTTCACACCTCAACACCGTGAACGCCGTCAAGCGCCTTCTCACCGCCCCAATGGCGGTCCGCGCCTCGCTAACAGTGCCGAGCGAGTACCGCAGCACACGCGCGACACGCCTCTTGCACGGCGTCTGATGATTCGGCGCCTCGAGCCCTATCCGAGTCGAAAAGTGTGAGAACCGTCTCTTCACACCTCGGAACCGCTAAGTCTTTTTTTTGCCGTCAAGCCGCTCTAGCGGCGCTGCGCGCCGCGTTGAGAGCGCGGCGCGTGCAGGGGAGCACACGCTGAGCACACGCCGCGAAGGCCGTCTCACGAGTCGGCGGACCGAGCCCTATTCATAGCAGAAAGTGTGAACTACGCCTCTTCACACCTCGAGCCGTGAACGCCGTCCGGCGCCCTCTCTCCGCCCCATGGGCGCTCCGCGCCGTGCTAACAGCGCCAAACGTGTAGCACAGCACGTTCGACTCGCCCCGTGAACGGCGTCTGGACAAACGGCGCAACGAGCCCTATCCGGGTCGAAAAGTGTGAGAACCGTCATTTCACACCTCGGAGCCGCTAAGTCTTTTTTTCGCCGTCAAGCCGCTAGCGGCGCTGCGCGCCGCAAAGAGAGCGCGGCGCGTGCAGAGGAGCACATGCTGCACACGCACCGCGAAGGCCGTCTCACGAGTCGGCGAGCTGAGCCCTGTTCATAGCAAAAAGTGTGAACGGCGCCTCTTCACACCTCAACACCGTGAACGCCGTCAAGCGCCTTCTCACCGCCCCAAAGGCGCTCCGCGCCTTGCTACAGCGCCGATCGTGCAGCGCAGCACACGTGCGACACGCCACTCGCACGGCGTCTGATGAGTCGGCGCCTCGAGCCCTATCCGAGTCGAAAAGTGTGAGAACCGTCATTTCACACCTCAAAGCCGCTAAGTCATTTTTTCGCCGTCAACCCGCTCTGGCGGCGCTGCGCGCCGCAAAGAGAGCGCGGCGCGTGCAGAGGAGCACATGCTGCACACGCACGGTGAAGGCCGTCTCACGAGTCGGCGAGCCGAGCCCTATTCATAGCAAACCTCACACCTCGAAGCCGCTAAGTCTTTTTTTCGCCGTCAAGCCGCTCTAGCGGCGCTGCGCGCCGCGTTGAGAGCGCGGCGCGTGCGTAGGAGCACGTGCTGCACACGCACCGCGATGGCCGTCTCGTGAGTCGGCGATCTGAGCCCTATTCGTGGCACAAAGTGCGAACGGCGTCTCTTCACACCTCGAGTCGTGAATGCCGTCCGGCGCCTTCTCGCCGCCCCAAAGGCGCTCCTCGCCGGGCTAGCAGCGCCGAGCGTGTAGCGCAGCACACGCGACACACGGCCTTTGAATGGCGTCTGACAAATGTTTTTCTTCTTCTCAGCGCATCCATCTCGGCGCGTCGATTCTTCGTTTTCCGGGTTCCAATTCTTTTCCTGCCTCGCCTGTCGCGTGAATCGTTTCGTGCGACCGCCTCTTGTCGAATAAATAAATAAATAAATAAATAGAGACCGCCTCTTGTCGAAAATTCTTTACCGGTGCCGCAAAATTCTTTTTCGGTCGCGGACGGCACAGCTCGCTCGCTTGCCATTTGCTCACGCTCGCGCAGGCGCGTCGCAGCGTGCACCCACGCAACGCCTCCGCTCCGTCCACACCACCCACTGCGTAGCCATGGCATTTCCGTGTGCATGCGACGGACTCGCTCTCCTGCACTTGCCGCCGCCCTCGCCACCGCCGGTTCCGAAACTGCTCTGCGGCCGCCATCGCACTCACTGCCTCGCTCTGCAGGACTCGACACCAGCGCCACCTGACCCGCACCCGCTCGCTCTCGCTCACGCTTCGTGCTGTCGCTGCTAGGGTCTTCGCTCATCGACTCGGAGCGCCGGCCGCCTCTCTCGTGCTCTTTTCGCTGTCACGTCACCTCGACACCGCGCGGTCGCGACTCTCGATGTTGCGTCGGCTCTCTCGGTCACAGCGTCACCACCCGCTGAGCCGAGCAGCAAAGGCGAGGCGCAGCCTCGCATCGGCGGTGGCCGACCGCCGTGCCGACGGAAAAAATGCCTTCGATCCCGCCGCAACCCTCCATCTCACCGCCGCCGTCTTCGCCACGAGACCGCCTCCGGCGAGCTCGGCCGGCTCTCCTCGCCCACGCGGCGCTCTCGAGCGCCCCAAGCATAAAGATTGCCGGGTGTCGTTAGGGTTAGCCAGGGTAGTGTTGCGGTTAGGGTTAGAGGTGGCACACCGTCATGACGTTAGGGTTAGGATCACGTCGAGAGCTAGGGTTAAGTTAGGGTTACGAGCTCCCCGCCACGGCTCGACGGAGGGCTCAAAAATCGTTTAAAACGGCCCTCCCGCCGAAAAAATCGCGCGCTGCGCGCGCAGGGAGAAAGAGAGAGGGAGAGAGAGTCAAATCACCGCCGCCGCAACCACACCCCCGGCGGAGCCCGGGAGAAAGTCGTGGAGCGCAGCGACACGACTTTCCCGGGGCGACGCCGGCGCGCGCGAAAAACGCGGTATTTGCCAAAACGGTGGAGGGCGCCCCGCGCTACCGGCCCATCAAACCCGCACCGCCCGAAGCCCTCGGGAAGGCCCTCAAAACGTCGACGCGGGAGGGCGAAAATCGCCTCGCTTCAGAGCCCGCGCGAGGACGGACCCCACGCCGCCCCACGAGCGACCCGCGCAACCCGCGACCAACAGCAGTGCGGAGAATCGGCAGGAGGTGTCCGCAGCCCCCAGGATCGTCCTCGTCCGATACAACCACCGACCACCATGGCCCTCCCCGCGCGCGCTGCAAATCTCCAGGCCCTCTGCTCGACTTTGGACGACCGACTTTATTTCGGGTGCTAAAGCAGCTCGCGCGGGCCCACCTCGCCGCCCCCGCCCCCGCCCGCCCCCGCGCGGCAGGCCCGGCGCCGCTCGCTTCCTCCGCGCACCTCACGGGGCGCCATGACACCGCCTGCCAGGCGGCCTGCAGCAGCGCGGGACAGCAGCTGCTACATTCCTCGCCTCCCGACGGCCACGGCGCCGCCCCGCGGTCGAATCTCGCAAAACCACGCACGTCCCCGTCCACACCGCTCACCCGACGCCCGCTCGCGCCGCCCGCGGACCCCTCTCCCGCCAAGCCCGCCCCTCTCCTAGCCCCTCCCAGAAGCCGCCACTCAGGCCTCGCCTCGCCTCGCACCAGTCCCCCAAAAATAGGCAGCCATTTCTGGGGCTCCCAGGCCATTCCGTATCGATTTCCGAAAACTTTTTTTCCGGCGGAATTTTACGTGCAGTCGTATTTCTTTATTTGCCCGCACAGCCTCTCGCTGCAGCCTCTCAGCCCTGCTGTCTCTCTCGCCCCTCTCGCCGCCACGCCTCGGCCACGCCCCTGCGTGTCCTCCGTGCATCCTCCCGGCGCGGCGCGGCGCCCGACCGCGCGTCGGCGCGGTCTGATCGCCGCCTCGCCTCTCGACGCGCCGCTCCCGCTCCGCCGTCTTCTCGGCGGCGGCGCGGCCTGACCTGGGCAGGGTCCGCTCCCGATCTTCTTTACGTGCGCCCCGCACGCGACCACCTCCCTTCTCGCCCAGCGAGGTCTCGGCGCGCGGCCGCTGCTGCTCGCCACGCTCGCCGCCGTGGTGCTCGTGCGGCTGCTGTGGCCCGAGGCGAGCCGCGCGGAGCTGCTGTGGACGATCGACCCGCCCGAGGCGGCGCGGCAGCACATCCGGCGGCTGATCCTCCCGCCCGAGGCCATCCGCCTCCGCCCGGCAGACACCTCCCCCACGAGCGCAGCCGGAAGCTGCGGTGACAGGAGGAGCGGCGGAGGCGGCGGCGGCGGCGGCGGCGGCGGAGGCAGCAGTGGCGGTGGCGGCGGCGGAGGCGGCGGCGGCGGCGGAGGCGGCGGCGAAGACGGCGGAGGAGGAGTCGTCGCATGGGCGGGGTCGACCAGAGTGGGTGCGGAGCCGGAGCTGGTGCGGAGGGTCGGCGGCGCGTTTCTCCTCTCGCGCTCTCTCTCCTCGCGCTACGTGCGCCTCCTCTTCCTCTCGACACACCAGTTCGACGCGAGCAGAGCCCGCGCTGCAGTATACCCTACCGACCCGGCGCCCAAACCCAAGGACATAAAGCAGGCGAGCAAGCGGCGGCTGCAGTCTGTGAGCGTGCCGGCCTGGCAGCCTAGACTCCGAAGACGGACTCTTATATTGCCAGAGGCGGAGTATCTCCCCACATCTCCCCGTCTCTCCCCCAGATCTCGAGGCCTAGATGCGGAGTATCTCCCCATATCTCCCCATATCTCCCCATATCTCGTGCCTAGACGCCGAAGCGGGACTCTTGCCTCCCAACCCGCGCTCGACCGCATTCTGCCGCATGCAGCTGCATTGGCCTCCCTCGTCCTCACGCGGTGCTCTGAGTACGCTGCACAGTGCCGTCCTCCCGCCCTCATGTCGGCGTCCTCGGCGCGCAGGACTGGGAGGCTTTCTCGGCCTCGCTGCTGCTGCACTGGACGAGCGCCGCCTCCGGGCTCGAGCTCGGGCGGAGCCGCACTCAATCACGAGTTGGTTTGCTACGATGACTCAGTGTGACCGCGTAGGCTCGAGCTGGGGCGGAGCCGCACTCAATCACTAGTTGGTTTGCTACGATGACTCAGTGTGACCGCGTAGGCTCGAGCTCGACGGGGCCGTCACCAAGGGCTTGCGCGCCGTCCGAAACTCGCTGTCCGACCAGCGCGCGTCGGCGGTGCTCGGGTGGCCGCTGATGCAGCAGGCGGAGCTGGCCGCGAGATGCGCCGAGATGCGCCGAGATGCGCCGAGATGCGCCGAGATGCGCCGAGATGCGCCGAGATGCGCCGAGATGCGCCGAGATTCGCCGAGATTCGCCGAGATGCGCCGAGATGCGCCGCGATTCGCCGAGATTCGCCGCCGATGCGGTGTGCTTCCCGTCGGTCGAGATCAGCCGAGATCTGCCGGGAGATCTGCCGAGATCTGCCGAGATCTGCCGAGATGCGAGGCGCACTTGCGTGGGCAGCGGTGCCTCCCCCCCCACCCACCCCCCCACCCCCCCCACCCACCTTAGGCGGTGCTGGCCGCGCTGCCCACCGCTCTCGGCCCCGACCGACCGGCGGTCGCCCTGCGCTCAACGGTCGCCGCAGTGAGCTCGCGCATGCGGCCGCTGCTGCGCGCTGTCGTCGAGACGTGCGGCATCCTCTCCTCGCCCCACGAGCCTGCGGGACCTGTTTAATTAATAACTAAATTAAATTAATTAATTAATTAGGCATCCTCTCCTCGCCCCGCGAGCCGCGGGACCCGTTTAATTCATAACTAAATCAATCAATCAATGAATTGATTAGGCATCCTCTCCTCGCCCCGCGAGCTGCGGGACCTCTTTGGGTGGCTCGCCGACATCGCCGACACCCTCCGCGCGATGGGCCTCTCGCCCCCCGACGCGGCCGCCCTCCTCTCCTGCCTCACCCGCTGCCTGCCCGGACAGCAGGCGGCGGGCAGCACGCAGCCCGCGCCGCCCGCAGAGCCGCCCGAGCCGCCGGCGCCTCCGAGCCGCTGGTCGGCCATCGCGACGGTCCTCTCGTTGCAGAGCTCGGCCGAGAGCGCGCCCGCCGAGGCGGGGCAGGCCGAGGCGTGGCAGCGCTTCCTCGACGGCGCGACGCCGGTCATCTTGCGGCTCCTGGTGGTGTAGGGAGGGTACACTCGGTGCGACAGTGTTTTACACAGATTGTTTGACCGACCAGCGAGACGCGATCAGATTAGCCGAGATTGGCCGAGATGAGCCGAGATTGGCCGAGATTAGCCGAGATCGAGCACGAGGAGCGCGACAGCGAGGACCTGAGCACGAGCTGCGCGTCCCATATCTCCCCGTATCTCCCGTATCTCCCCGTATCTCCCTCTCCCTCTCTCTCCATCTCCTCTATCAGGCGATTAAATATTAATTATCGAGATCGCACGAGATACGCGAGAGGTGTGTGAGCGGAGAGCGAGAGGGGCGATATGATCGAGATCGCGCGAGATGAGCGAGAGGTGTGTGAGAGCGGAGAGCGAGAGGGGTGTGTGATGAGATATTTGATCGAGAGAGGCACGGATTGAGATCGAGAGAGGCGATTAAAAATTAATTATCGAGATTGCACGAGATCAGGCGCTTGCTGCGGCGCTGCTGGCGCTAGGCCGAGGTGGCGGAGGCGGCGGAGGCGGCGGAGGCGGCGGAGTTGAGGCTGACGGCGGCCCGAGAGAGGTAGAGGTGTGTACGGCTCTATGCGGTGTGTATGATCGGGAGAGGCATGGATCGAGGTCGAGAGGAGCGAGAGGTGCGTATGCGTATGCGGCGCCCGCTGCAGAAAAAAAGTTTTGGGAAATCGGTAGGGAAACAATGGGGCCTGGGAGCCCCAGAAATGGAAAGAAAACACGACTCTTTAGACTATAGCTTTCTACCTATCTCCGCCCCAAGGGCGCTTCGCGCCGTGCCAACGGCGCCGAGCGTGCAGCGCAGCGCACACGCGACACGTCCCTTGCACGGCGTCTGATAAAACAGCGCTTCTAGCCCTATCCGAGTCGAAAAGCCGCTACCTTAAGGTAAGTCTTTTTTTCGCCGTCGAGCCTCTCTAGCGGCGCTGCGCGCCGCGTGGAAAGAGCGCTGCGTACAGAGCAGCAGCCGCTGCGTACGCACCGTGAAGGCCGTGTCGTGAGTCGGCGAGCCGAGCCCTATTCATAGCAGAAGGTGTGAACGGCGCCTCTTCACACCTCAACACCGTGAAGGCCGTCAAGCGCCTTCTCACCGCCCCAATGGCGGTCCGCGCCTCGCTAACAGTGCCGAGCGAGTACCGCAGCACACGCGCGACACGCCACTCGCACGGCGTCTGATGAGTCGGCGCCTCGAGCCCTATCCGAGTCGAAAAGTGTGAGAACCGTCTCTTCACACCTCGGAACCGCTAAGTCTTTTTTTTTGCCGTCAAGCCGCTCTAGCGGCGCTGCGCGCCGCGTTGAGAGCGCGGCGCGTGCAGGGGAGCACACGCTGAGCACACGCCGCGAAGGCCGTCTCACGAGTCGGCGGACCGAGCCCTATTCATAGCAGAAAGTGTGAACGGCGCCTCTTCACACCTCGAGCCGTGAACGCCGTCCGGCGCCCTCTCTCCGCCCCATGGGCGCTCCGCGCCGTGCTAACAGCGCCAAACGTGTAGCACAGCACGTTCGACTCGCCCCGTGAACGGCGTCTGGACAAACGGCGCAACGAGCCCTATCCGAGTCGAAAAGTGTGAGAACCGTCATTTCACACCTCGAAACCGCTAAGTCATTTTTTCGCCGTCAAGCCGCTCTAGCGGCGCTGCGCGCCGCAAAGAGAGCGCGGCGCGTGCAGAGGAGCACATGCTGCACACGCACCGCGAAGGCCGTCTCACGAGTCGGCGAGCCGAGCCCTGTTCATAGCAAAAAGTGTGAACGGCGCCTCTTCACACCTCAACACCGTGAACGCCGTCAAGCGCCTTCTCACCGCCCCAAAGGCGCTCCGCGCCTTGCTACAGCGCCGAGCGTGCAGCGCAGCACACGTGCGACACGCCACTCGCACGGCGTCTGATGAGTCGGCGCCTCGAGCCCTATCCGAGTCGAAAAGTGTGAGAACCGTCATTTCACACCTCGAAACCGCTAAGTCATTTTTTCGCCGTCAAGCCGCTCTAGCGGCGCTGCGCGCCGCAAAGAGAGCGCGGCGCGTGCAGAGGAGCACACGCTGAGCACACGCCGCGAAGGCCGTCTCACGAGTCGGCGAGCCGAGCCCTATTCATAGCAAAGAGTGTGAACGGCGCCTCTTCACACCTCGAGCCGTGAACACCGTCCGGCGCCTTCTCACCGCCCCAAGAGCGCTGCGCGCCGTGCTAACGGCGCCGAGCGTGCAGCGCAGCACACGCGCGACACGCCCCTCGCACGGCGTCTGATAAATCGGCGTCTCGAGCCCTATCCGAGTCGAAATGTGTGAGAACCGTCATTTCACACCTCGAAACCGCTAAGTCATTTTTTCGCCGTCAAGCCGCTCTAGCGGCGCTGCGCGCCGCAAAGAAGCGCGGCGCGTGCGTAGGAGCACGTGCTGCACACGCACGGTGAAGGCCGTCTCACGAGACGGCGAGCCGAGCCCTATTCATAGCAAAGAGTGTGAACGGCGCCTCTTCACACCTCGAGCCGTAAACACCGTCCGGCGCCTTCTCACCGCCCCGAGGGCGCTCCGCGCCGTGCTAACGGCGCCGAGCGTGCAGCGCAGCACACGTGCGACACGCCACTCGCACGGCGTCTGATGAGTCGGCGCCTCGAGCCCTATCCGGGTCGAAAAGTGTGAGAACCGTCATTTCACACCTCGAAACCGCTAAGTCATTTTTTCGCCGTCAACCCGCTCTAGCGGCGCTGCGCGCCACGTGGAGGGCGCGGCGCGTGCGTAGGAGCACGTGCTGCACACGCACCGCGAAGGCCGTTCACGAGTCGGCGAGCCGAGCCCTATTCATAGCAGAGAGTGTGAACGGCGCCTCTTCACACCTCGAGACGTGAACACCGTCCGGCGTCTTCTCACCGGCCCAAGGGCGCTCCGCGCCTTGCTACAGCGCCGATCGTGCAGCGCAGCACACGCGCGACACGCCACTCGCACGGCGTCTGATGAGTCGGCGCCTCGAGCCCTATCCGGGTCGAAAAGTGTGAGAACCGTCATTTCACACCTCGAAACCGCTAAGTCATTTTTTCGCCGTCAACCCGCTCTAGCGGCGCTGCGCGCCGCAAAGAGAGCGCGGCGCGTGCAGAGGAGCACATGCTGCACACGCACGGTGAAGGCCATCTCACGAGTCGGCGAGCCGAGCCCTATTCATAGCAAAGAGTGTGAACGGCGCCTCTTCACACCTTAACACCGTGATCGCCGGCAACCGCGCCTTCTCACCGCCCCAAGAGCGCTGCGCGCCGTGCAAACGGCGCCGAGCGTGCAGCGCAGCACACGCGCGACACGCCACTCGCACGGCGTCTGATGACCCGGCGCCTCGAGCCCTATCCGAGTCGAAAAGTGTGAGAACCGTCATTTCACACCTCGAAACCGCTAAGTCATTTTTTCGCCGTCAAGCCGCTCTAGCGGCGCTGCGCGCCGCGTTGAGAGCGCGGCGCGTGCAGAGGAGCACATGGTGCACACGCACGGTGAAGGCCATCTCACGAGTCGGCGAGCCGAGCCCTATTCATAGCAAAGAGTGTGAACGGCGCCTCTTCACACCTTAACACCGTGATCGCCGGCAACCGCGCCTTCTCACCGCCCCAAGAGCGCTGCGCGCCGTGCAAACGGCGCCGAGCGTGCAGCGCAGAACACGCGCAACACGCCACTCGCACGGCGTCTGATGACCCGGCGCCTCGAGCCCTATCCGAGTCGAAAAGTGTGAGAACCGTCATTTCACACCTCGAAACCGCTAAGTCATTTTTTCGCCGTCAAGCCACTCTAGCGGCGCTGCGCGCCGCAAAGAGAGCGCGTCGCGTGCAGAGGAGCACACACTTCATACGCACCGCGAAGGCCGCCTCGTGAGTCGGCGAGCCGAGCCTGTTCACGGCATAAAGTGTGAACGGCGTCTCTTCACACCTTTAGCCGTGAACGCCATCCGGCGCCCTCTCGCCGCCCCAACGGCGCTCCGCGCCTCGCTAACAGCGCCAAGCGTGCAGCGCAGCACACGCGCAGCACGCCCCTCGCACGGCGGCTGATGAATCGGCGCCTCGAGCCCTACCCGAGCCGAAAAGTGTGAGAACCGTCTTTTCACACCTCAAAGCCGCTAAGTCTTCTTTTCGCCGTCAAGCCGCTCTAGCGGCGCTGCGCGCCGTGTGGAGACCGCGGCGCGTACAGAGGAGCGCGTGCTGCACACGCACCGCCAAGGCCGCCTCGTGAGTCGGCGAGCCGAGCCCTGTTCATAGCATGAAGTGTGAACGGCGTCTCTTCACCTCGACACCGTGAACGCCGTCCGGCAACTTCTCACCGCCCCAAAGGCGCTCCGCGCCGTACTAACAGCGCCGAGCGTGTAGCGCAGTACACGCGCGACGCGCCCCGTGAACGGCGCCTAATGAATCGGCGCCTCGAGCCCTATCCGAGCCGAAAAGTGTGAGAACCGTCTTTTCACACCTCAAAGCCGCTAAGTCTTTTTTTCGCCGTCAAGCCGCTCTAGCGGCGCTGCGCGCCGCAAAGAGAGCGCGGCGCGTGCGGAGGAGCACGCGCTGCGCACGCACCGCGAAGGCCGTCTCTTGAGTCGGCAAGCCGAGCCCTATTCATAGCAGAAAGTGTGAACGGCGTCTCTTCACACCTCGAGCCGTGAACACCGTCCGGCGCCTTCTCGCCGCCCCAAGGGCGCTCCGCGCCGTGCTCGCAGCGCCGAACGTGTAGCGCAGTACACGCGCGACACGCCCCTTGCACGGCGTCTGAAAAAACGGCGCCTCGAGCCCTATCCGAGTCGAAAAGTGTGAGAACCGTCTTTTCACACCTCAAAGCCGCTAAGTCTTTTTTTCGCCGTCAAGCCGCTCTAGCGGCGCTGCGCGCCGCGTGGAGAGCGCGGCGCGTGCGTAGGAGCACGTGCATGCGCTGCTGACGCACCGCGAAGGCCGTCTCTTGAGTCGGCGAGCCGAGCCCTATTCATAGCAGAAAGTGTGAACGGCGTCTCTTCACACCTCGAGCCGTGAGCGCCGTCCGGCGCCCTCTCACCGCCCCTCACACCTCGAAGCCGCTAAGTCTTTTTTTCGCCGTCAACCCGCTCTAGCGGCGCTGCGCGCCGCGTTGAGAGCGCGGCGCGTGCAGAGGAGCACGTGCTGCACACGCACCGCGATGGCCGTCTCGTTAGTCGGCGATCTGAGCCCTATTCGTGGCACAAAGTGCGAACGGCGTCTCTTCACACCTCGAGTCGTGAAGGCCGTCCGGCGCCTTCTCGCCGCCCCAAAGGCGCTCCTCGCCGGGCTAGCAGCGCCGAGCGTGTAGCGCAGCACACGCGACACACGGCCTTTGAATGGCGTCTGACAAATGTTTTTCTTCTTCTCAGCGCATCCATCTCGGCGCGTCGATTCTTCGTTTTCCGGGTTCCAATTCTTTTCCTGCCTCGCCTGTCGCGTGAATCGTTTCGTGCGACCGCCTCTTGTCGAATAAATAAATAAATAAATAAATAGAGACCGCCTCTTGTCGAAAATTCTTTACCGGCTGCGCGGCAAAATTCTTTTTCGGTCGCGGACGGCACAGCTCGCTCGCTTGCCATTTGCTCACGCTCGCGCAGGCGCGTCGCAGCGTGCACCCACGCAACGCCTCCGCTCCGTCCACACCACCCACTGCGTAGCCATGGCATTTCCGTGTGCATGCGACGGACTCGCTCTCCTGCACTTGCCGCCGCCCTCGCCACCGCCGGTTCCGAAACTGCTCTGCGGCCGCCATCGCACTCACTGCCTCGCTCTGCAGGACTCGACACCAGCGCCACCTGACCCGCACCCGCTCGCTCTCGCTCACGCTTCGTGCTGTCGCTGCTAGGGTCTTCGCTCATCGACTCGGAGCGCCGGCCGCCTCTCTCGTGCTCTTTTCGCTGTCACGTCACCTCGACACCGCGCGGTCGCGACTCTCGATGTTGCGTCGGCTCTCTCGGTCACAGCGTCACCACCCGCTGCGCCGAGCAGCAAAGGCGAGGCGCAGCCTCGCATCGGCGGTGGCCGACCGCCGTGCCGACGGAAAAAATGCCTTCGATCCCGCCGCAACCCTCCATCTCACCGCCGCCGTCTTCGCCACGAGACCGCCTCCGGCGAGCTCGGCCGGCTCTCCTCGCCCACGCGGCGCTCTCGAGCGCCCCAAGCATAAAGATTGCCGGGTGTCGTTAGGGTTAGCCAGGGTAGTGTTGCGGTTAGGGTTAGAGGTGGCACACCGTCATGACGTTAGGGTTAGGATCACGTCGAGAGCTAGGGTTAAGTTAGGGTTACGAGCTCCCCGCCACGGCTCGACGGAGGGCTCAAAAATCGTTTAAAACGGCCCTCCCGCCGAAAAAATCGCGCGCTGCGCGCGCAGGGAGAGAGAGAGAGGGAGAGAGAGTCAAATCACCGCCGCCGCAACCACACCCCGGCGGATTCAAAAACCTTCAAAACGGCGAAACGGGGCCATGGCCGACGCTCGCGATGGCCCGTCCGTTGCGGCCAGGCTCAAACTGTGCGCGCAAGCCACAGGAGAGGCGGTGGCGCCGCAAGACGAGGCGATGATTCGCATCCTCTCGCAGCTCGCCGTGGAGCGCAACTGGTGGAGCTTCAGCGTCAACCCGACGCCCATGGGCAAGCAGTTCATTGTCCAGCCCCAGTCCCAGTGGGAGAGGGACAGGGAGCGGCAGCAGGCCAAGGAGGGCAGTACCCCACCGCAGCCTGTGCCTGCTGCCACCTCCGCCGCGGCACCGCCCGCAGCACCGCCTGCCGCCGCTGCAGCTCCGGCCGCAGCACCGCAGGCACACCCGCAGCACCAACAGGTGCAGCAACCCCAGCCCAACGAGTCGCCCGAGGGGTGGACCAGGGTTGGGAAGGGCGGCATGCCGGACAGGTTCACCATGAGGAACCCTGGCCGCAAGCCGCCGGGCAAGGCGGTCAAGCGCAAGCCTGACCGCCAGCCCGCACCCAAGGGAGGTGGACCCCCACCCCCCTCTCCCAAGGTGAACAAGAACAGGCTGAGCGCGCTGGGCGCTGGCCCTTCTGGCACCAGCGGGAGCCACGAGCGCGCACCACCGCGCTCCCCCTCCCCCTCCTCGCCGCCTGCCAAATCACCGCGGCCGTCTGT